ATGAGTTAAATACTACTAAATTTCTAAAATCTTCATATTTTATGTGCACTTCATGCGCTATAGGGAAATTGATCGTATGGCCATCGCCCGTTAAGATCTAAAATGAGCCACTAAAATTTCTTGAACGCATTCAAGGAGATATTTGTGGCCCCATACAACCAACGTCTGGACCGTTTAGGTACTTTATGGTTTTAATAGATGCATCTACTAGATGGTCTCATGTGTGTCTTTTGTCCACACGTAACCATGCATTTGCAAAAATTATTGCTCAAGTTATTAGATTTAGAGCACATCATCCTGAACATCAAATTCAATCAATTTGAATGGACAATGCTGCTGAATTTTCCTCAAAGGCTTTCAACGATTATTGTATGGCTTTGGGAATTCAAGTTCAGCACTCTGTCCCATATGTCCATACACAAAATGGTTTAGCAGAATCTCTTATTAAGAGAATTAAACTCATTGCAAGACCGTTATTACAAAATTGCAACCTACCAACTTCATGTTGGAGTCATGTAGTCTTACACGTTGCTGACTTAATTCAATTGCGACCAACTGCATATCACGTAGTCTCCCCATTAAAATTAGTACGTGGGAATATGCCAAATATTTTCCATCTGCGAAAATTCGGTTGCGCTGTATACATACCGATCTCACTGCCTAAGCATACTTCTATGGGCCCATATAGGAAACTTGATATCTATGTGGGATATCAATCTTCATCAATTATCAACTACCTCGAGCCTCTTACAGGGACTTATTCACGGCCCGATATGCTGACAGCATATTTAATGAGGACCATTTCTCGGCATTAGGGGGAGATTTCAAGTACCAAAACGAATGCCAGAAAATCATCTGGAATGCCCAAGGCATTCCCCCCTCAGATCCACATACTCTAGAGACTGAACAACAAATTTAGAAAATTATAAACTTGCAACATATTGCAAATAACCTGCCAAAAGCATTTACTGATTATAAGGGTGTCACTAAATCATCTTATCCTGCTCGCAATGCGCCCGAAAGAGTGGAGGTACCAATAAAAACCATTCAACTCCCACTACCAAAGAAGAGGGGGAGAAGTACGGCCGCTCCTAAGGATAATGCTACAAGTAAGCGTCCGAGAATATCGAGGGCTAAATCCTCCAAATCAGTAAATCTAAGCCAACCTCAAGTTGGTAGACACCCAATAGTGGATAAAAATCCAACATTAGGACCAAATCCACAACCCAAATCAACAGTGCATCTAAATTCTGATCCTAGGATATCGGAACACCCTGACTCCATAGTTTTGGAAAATGTTGAGTCAAATAATGGGGTGAAAGAAATTTCCATCAATTACATAGATTCTGGAGAATCATACGATCGTAAGACTACTGTTGTCGACATGTACTTCTCCGCAGCAATAGCAGAAATCTTTCTCAATGATCCAGATCCCAAGACCATGGCAGAGTGCAAAAAGCGCTTGGACTGGGCTCAATGGAAAGAAGCAATTCAAGCTGAGATAGCTTTGCTCGCTAGAAGAGGGGTATTCACATCTGCAATACCTACACCTTCCAAAGTATTTCCTATAGGCTTTAAATGGGTTTTCGTCCAGAAACAGAATGAGAACACTGAGGTAGTGAGATATAAAGCGAGGCTAGTAGCACAAGGGTTCACGCAGAGACCCGGCATTGATTACAATGAAACCTATTCTCCAGTAATGAGTGGAATTACTTTTCGATACTTAATATCATTGGTAGTTCAAAATCATCTATCTATACAGTTGATGGATGTGGTGACAGCATATCTATATGGGTCACTTGATTCGGACATATACATGAAGGTTCCCGATGGAATCCAAATTCTGAATCCAAACGCAAATCGCAACATGTATTGTGTAAAACTACAAAAGTCATTATATGGCTAGAAGCAGTCGGGACGAATGTGGTACAACTGACTCAGGGAATTCCTTCTAAAGAAAGGATACACTAACAATGATGATTGCCCATGTGTTTTCATTAAGAAATCTCGAACGGGATTTTGTATTATATCCGTGTATGTTGATGATTTAAATATCATTGGCAGCCCAAAGGATATAGATGAAGCACGCAAACATCTAAAGAGGAAATTCGAGATGAAGGATTTGGGTAAGACCAAGTATTGCCTAGGCTTACAACTTGAGCACCGTCCTTCAGAGATTTTAGTGCATCAATCAGCCTATATCCAGAAAATATTGGAGAAATTCAATATGGATAAATCATACCCTAATAAAACTTCAATGGTTGTTCGTTCCTTAGAAATAGGAAAAGATCCATTTAAACCACGGAATATTGGTGAAAAGATATTGGGACTAGAGATCCCATATCTTAATGTCATTGACGTACTTATGTATCTTGCAAATTGCACCAGGCCTGATATTGCATTTGCAGTGAACTTACTGGCTAGGCATAGTGCGGACCCAACTCGCCGTCATTGGATGGGAGCAAAGTGTATCCTCAGATACCTTAATGGCACAAAGGATCTTGGTTTATTCTTCAAGACAAATCATGATCCCAGTATGACTGGTTATACTGATGCAGGTTACTTATATGATCCTCGTAACGGAAAATCCCAAACAGGATTTGTATTCCTACATGGAGGTACAACTATTTTATGGAAGTCTTCTAAGCAGACTCTTACAGCGACTTCTACTGATCATTCTGAAATTATTGCTCTATACGAGGCATCACGAGAATGTGTATGGCTTCGCAGAATGATTAACCATATACAACAGTTATGTGGTATTGGTTCAATTGAATCACCTACAATTATCTATGAAGATAATTCCGCTTGTGTTACACAGATGCAAACAGGTTACATAAAGAGCAATATCACTAAGCATATTGTTCCTAAACTGTTTTATCCCCATGAATTACAAGAAAGCGGGGAAATAAACATCTTGCAAATCAAGTCATGTGATAATCTCGCTGACCTATTTACTAAGTCCTTACCAACTTCTGTGTTTCAAAAATTGGTACATGGAATTGGTATGCGGCGACTTTGAGATTTGTCAGAATCAGGGGGGGACATCTCCTAAATGTTGACATATACCAGCATCATATTATACTCTTTTTTTTCATAAGTTTTACTTATAAGGTTTTTTGTTAAAGTTTTTAATGAGGTAATATTAACATAAGCATGTGTCATATTTTCTATTTTTCCCACCGGGGTTTTTGTGAAAAATATCAAAGACACATATTGCCCTCACAACTCATTCATGGTTTTTTCCTGAAAAGGTTTTTCATGTGAGTTATCCAAGAGGCAATATCAATAATATGTCGTCATATTTTCTCCTAATTTTCTCACGGGGTTTTTACAGGAGTTTTAGCGACATATCACTTTATATTGCTCCTCATATTTTTTCCGAAATGGTTTTTGGGGAAGTAATCTATATGTCGTATCTCCAATATTTTTTTTCACTGGGGTTTTTAATGGGATACCAATGACATAGTGATTCATTTAAATCACAATCATATATGTTATTTTCTCCTTATTTTCCTATAAGGTTTAAAGGAGTTTTTATAGCATATCTATACATACATATTCCTTAGTTTTTTCCCACGGGGTTTTTCGAGGAATCCAATCATACAACTGCATTGATCTCAAAGAAGATTCGTTCAAGGGGGAGTGTTATGAAATGACACCAGTACACCAACAGGCGTCCTTCTACAGATAATCTCATCCGTCCGTACAAGCAGTTAGGATTAGAGATTAGATTAGTAGTTAACTTTCTCAAACAGTCACGTCCGTACGACGTCCGTACAACGTGACCCTTCATTTGTATATAATCCAAAGAGATCAATGAAATAGTTAGTTGTTCCCAAAATTCTTGTTCATTCCATTCACTTTTAACAATTCTATTGGGACCAAACTATCCTCGTCTAACATCTTTCTTGTTCCTCTCTCTCTATTTCACGCCTCATCATTAACGGTCTTGGTATCCATGTCATATACCTTTCAATGAAAAAGAGAAATTGTATTGGGACCAAACTATCTCGTCTAACATCTTCTTTCTCGTTCCTCTCTATTTCACGCTTCATCATTAACATGTCTTAGTAGCGATGTTAGCAATAACATGTCTTAGTATCCATGTTAGCAGAAGAAGGGTACGTCATAGGTGTTGAACTCACATGAATCAATCAGTAAGGGGCCGTTTGGTGGCAAACCTAAAAATTTTGCCTGGTCTAGGCATCAATCCCAAGTAAGCTAAAGCTCCCAGTTGAGGGCTCAATTCAAACAAGCCCTAAGATTTTTCTTTCGAGAACCAATTACTCCCTCAATCTTGAAATATAAGGATCAAAAGTTAACCTAAGTTCAATTATTCTAATTTTAGCTAAGTTTATATTAATATCTACAACATCAAAGTGGCAAATTATAAAATTATGTTTCATAAATCTAATGATGCTAATTTGATGCAGTAAATATAAATATTATTGTTCTTTTTTATGGAGTTGGTCAAACTTAGAACATTTCAAGTCAAGACAATTCAAAATCCTTATATTTTAGGATGTAGTAAGTTAAGAGATATAAAAGTGGACATTAATAACTTGAGACCTCAATGACATGCGATGCAAGTTTTGGGACTTTGTATTTTACTCTAAGATAGGAGTAGAATGCAGTACTACTTTGACAAGAATCAGATTTGATCAGTACAGACAAGCACATCGCAGTTTCACAAACAAAACAGAGACTTCCCACTGGTAAAAATGAAAAATGTTCATCTCTGCATACTAACTCTCACTCTCAATCAACACCAACACAAAAGCATCACCGTTACCGTTGTGTGAAAACTACAGCTCGTCACGTACATCTGTGGCAGCCAATTTGACGCACCCTTCCTGGTAGCCGCATGAATATACCCTCCATTCATAATGCCAGAGAAAGGTGGAAATCTCCACTCGTAACCCTCCACAGGTTCTCCTTTTTGTGGTTGAGGGAAGAAAAAACTCCCTGTTAACTATACATTGGGGAGAGAATCATGGTCACGTGACGAGATCGTCGACTTCGGAGTTAAACACAAAGCTGGGGAATGTTGTTGTTATGTCCCTGAATTATTGACCAAGGAAAATCGTTAGCAGGTATTTTTGTTGCTTCAAATCAAAGTTCATGCAAAGCACAAAGCAGAATTTTATGTGGGCCAGTTCTGGTTCAGATAAATGTAACACACTACGATAGTAACATTGAATCCCAAAACAACTGATTCAAGAGGCAGCAGCACATAGAAAGTAGATAAGTTTTTTGTAAGTTTCATATTTCAGCCTTCAGGTGACAGAAAAATAACTGCAGATCAAGTCAACATTCTGAACTCCTGGCAAATAAATTGTGAGAGTAGCAGCAATCCTCTCAGTTATCTTAGATATTTCATTTTTGCTGGCAGAGGCATCAGTTAGGATTTAAAATGACACATCATTCACTTATTTAGGTATGAGGAGATAAAGATATATATGCTTCTGAATTTCTATTTTCTACCATATTTGCTGTAGTCTCCATAAAATGATTCTAAATTTCTATTTTGTACATTCTTACTTGAGGTATGGCAGAGTCATTATCTTCATCAAGGAAGGATTTCTTGTGACAAAATTCTCCCATTCTGTTCTATCTATTTTCCCATCCTGATTTGCATCAGCATCTGAAAATGTCTGTCATCACCACATAACTTGCTGTAAGTCTTAATTCCAGTATAGGTCACAGGAACAATTTATGACTCAAGTAACCAATTGATTTCTGATGAAATGTTTAAAAGAACCTTATCCAGGATTGTCTCAATGATCTCATCAGATAGCCTCATTTCTGATTCTCCTAGGAGAGCAATTAACATCTGCTTAACCTGCACCAGGAGGATTACACAAGTTTTAGCTAGCCGAGAAAGGACACAAAGCTTTCCTTAGTTCAGCAGTAAATGATCGTGAATCGTTTTTCCTTAGTTCATCAGTACATAATCGTCTATGCCACTGGCCAATCAACCAAACATAAAAAAAAAACCTTCTTTATAGCTATTTTACTAATTTTCATGTGGAAACTAAAATTCAGAAAATATATGCAGAAGGGTCCAGAAAATTACCTCCTTCCGTTCAATAAACCCTGTGCCATCCATATCGTATAGCTTGAACGAGACTGCCAGGTAGTTCAAACTTTTTAGAAAGACATGAGATAAAACAAATCATAATGAAATGAAATGAAAAGATAAGAACCTACAATCAATTTTTTCTTCCATTGGGATATTTGGATGAAACACATTTAGAGCTCGGACAAAGTCACCAAAATCAATGACACCCCTTTTCTTGACATCGAAAAGGTCAAATATCTGCGAGGCCAGTTTCATGTAAATTTAACTGATGGCAATAGTGCTTAAAGCACAATACAACAGTGATGAAATTCAAATGAGTATAGTTGTCAAGCAGATGCATACCCGATTAGCGAAAAGATTTTCTTTCCTCTGATTCTTAAATAATGCTAGCTGGAATTCTTCCTGTGCAATATAAAATGGTGGCAAAGATTAATCACTCTTAGGTTTTTATGCCCACAAAATTTTAGTTCTCAATGGCATAAAGTGATAATTCCGCAAGATTTAGCATGACAGTTCAAAAACTTTGCATAACATGATGCTTGAAATAAATATGGAACCAAAATACACTTCCTCTAGTTATGCAGTTCAAATTTAGCTTATCCAAAATATGAATGGCACAGGATACAATAGCTTATTTTCGAACAGGTATTTCGTTGTTGTACGCCCATAACCTGAGATGGCACCTCAATCCAATCTAGACAGATAACTTATGAGTATGTTTCGATATTGCATCTTTGATTGAAAAAAAAATGTAGTAGAAGTGTGAGATCATTTGATATACCAAGTAGAGCACTTCATGTATCATTGGGTTGTCTTGTAAAGGAGGAACATTTGGCAAGGAACAACCATGAGCAGAACGAAAACAAACATTTGAACATAAATCTTGGTGCCTACAAGCTGCTACAACTACGAAAAAGTACATAAAAATTGCATTGCCACATAATTTCTGCAGCTGAAGAGACTAAAAATACAAAACGTAGGATTACAAGTTTCACTTTCCAGTCTTACAATCAGCAAGGAGGGCTAACTAGAACATGGCTAGTGAGCATATTTGATGTTCATACCCAAAACTGACAATATGATAAGGAATACAGAGATGACCGATAGAATATACCTTGTTGATCAGGCCATCATCAATGACCGAACCACTTATGCTCTTGAACAGCTCGAATAGAGCCTCAACCTCGCTAACGCTGACTACATAAGCAAAACAAAAGCTCGTACTTAGCAAGATCTAGTGAGGACAATTTAAAAATTACAGAAAACGCAAGGATCATGCAGCATGCATCCAGTGCTCGTACACAGATATCTAAGATATCCTAGTACACGACACCGATATATAGACGAAACATTTGGCATCTCCAATCCCATTCCAACCACGGCAATCATTGTTTTGAAAAATAAATAAGAAAAAAAAACTTGAACTCACGCGAGTAGCTCGTACGCGTAGGGCAAGGGATGGGATCGGCAAACTCACAGGCGGTCTGGGAGGCGAGGTGCACGGGGTCCTCGTAGCCAGGGTGCTGCCGCTTCGCCGTGGAATGGAAGCACCCCATCGCCGCGGCGGGGCGTTTCTAGAGCTGACCCAAGCACTGAAACCAACCAATCTGCTAGCCCCGCAGCTGTCCTCGCCGCGGAGCCGCGGCCGCAGAGGAGGTGAGGGAGTGAGGGGCACGAGGGCGGCGGGGGCGAGTGGATCTGGGCCGTCGAGGCGGGGGGGTCGGATGACGGAGACTGGGGGTTTCGGCTGCAGCCTGTGGGTTCTTCTGGCGAGGCGAGGCCGCCGTCCGGGGAAAAGGAGGCGATGCGACGCGACGCGGCGGCGATTGGTTGGTCGAAGCGGGGTGCGGAACTGCGGAGCGGACCAGGCGCCGAGGGAGTCGCGCCGACCACGCTCGGAGCGAGGGCGAACCGACCCAGGCCGAGACGAGGCGGGGAGCTGACTAGCTGAGCCCCTGGCCCCGGGCGGCAGGGGCGGCCGCCCTTGCCCCGTTCGGCCTTGGGGTCGGGTCAGGCTCTGCCACGCCGGCGCATGTGCGCGTCCCCTTCGACGCTTCTTCTACTGGAAAAGGGCCAAAACGTGCGGCGAAAAAGGGTGCCGAGACGAAGCCGCACGACGGCACAAGCGATGCGGCACGCGACAGAGCACCGTGCGCCTATTCCCAGCCTCGCGCGTCGCTCGCCATGCCTAACGTCACTACGGCAGGGTGGTGGCGCACGCACCAACCTGGAAGGTTGTTACAGTCGAGGAGCCAACTGCCGCAGGCCCGCAGCCGGCCGACGGCGACGGCGTCTTAGATTCTGGTCGATTATTCTGATTACCTTCGATCTCCGGAGACGGAATTCGCGAGACCATGCGTTTTTTATCGAGATAATCTGAAACAAGCTGAGTCTAATTGTTAGCTTATGAATTAGAACAGGTTTGATCAAGATATCTACTGTTTGGATCCATTCAATTAATTATTAGAGGTTAGTTGTAAGAAATCAGCTAATAGCTAACTGTCAGTTTGGTAGTAGGTAACACATTATCTTACATTTTCGGCATGTTCGCTGGTTGGTTTCTGAGTTGATAAGCCCGGCTGGTGCTGGTTTGTTGTGAGAGAAAAACATTGTTGGCTGGCTGATAAGCCTTAGCTAAAACAAAAGGCGAACAGGTTGTTTAGCTGAGAATCCAAATAGGTCCTCAACTTAGATAGTTGTTAGTAGGTAAGACATTACATGACATTTTAGCGAGAGTAGCAGCTAACTAAGTCGTAAGGATCAAACAGGCTCATGATTGATTAGACTATTAAGTAGACCTGTTCAGATTCAAAGGAGCAGCTAATTATTAGCTCTATGGTTCAAATATGATCTTAGCTTATATGAACCAATTAAATTTTTTTATTACTAAATAGTTCATTTTAAGTTAGTAGTTGGGCTATTAGTTATGGTGTTTGGATCTACTAAAAATAATTTTAGTAGCTAACTATTAGCTCAGAGAATCAACGACATCTTAGTATGTCTTCCTTCGGAGGAATCTGGCTATTCTAAGAGCCTGTTTGGTTGCCCTGATGTACTCGTGTTTGGTTCTTGGGATGCAGTTTCACGGTGTTTGGTTCCCTGCACTCGTCGTTGGGCTTGGCCCTGGGCATGCAGCCGAGGCGCTAGAGCCTTCTCCCAAATAACGGATTTGGAATCTGTTTTTTCTTGGCCTGGCTCACACGGGCGGCGATGGCGTACACGCGATGGCGTACACGCGTGAGTGTGGGAGCGCAGGCGGGAGCATGGGTCTGGGCAACCAAACACCGGCTGTGTATAATCAGGCACTGTAGGTCATGCGAGGTCATGCGAACCAAACAAACAATGGTTGTACACCCATAGCCTGGTCAGCGGGAGCTTGTATGGCCAGGTGCAATGTAGGAACACTAAGAAGAGAACCAAACAAGCTCTAAGTTATTCTGTTCTAACTCGTTTTGATCAGAATTTGATTCTGACTTCGCATGGACTTATGTTACGGTTTGTTAGCAACATTGTCAGTGACACTACCGTTGGGTCGAATGATGGCTGCTCTTCATTTTATCCCGTTGGGCGGTGGAGCGCTATCTGGTTTTTGTCCTAGAGTTATATAAGATCAAGAATTTTGTCCTATAGGTAATAAGGGATCTGGACGTCAAAGGGACGTCAAAGCAGCGATCAAACGGCTCAAAATAATTTTGCTACCGTGGACAGCCTGGTTGGTGGTCAAACCAAACTACTTTGATAAGAGTAGATAAAATCAAGAATTTTGTCCTATATATAAGATCAAGATCAGGGCCGAGTAGATTATAGATTAGTATACTACAATCATTGCCCTTGCACGTGATTGTGATTGATTGGAGATTAACGCAATCTGGCGTTTGATTTTATCTCAAGTTGTGTGCTTTCTTCACCATGTTGTCATCTCCCACGCTTCTCAAGAAGCGAAGCTAACTACCAGATCAAATCAAAAACATTATTACCTGTACAAAATTAGGATTTAGGAACGCCATTTTTTAGATAAAAATGCTATGGGAAAGGTGAATATTTTCCGCAACTAGATTGACATGTTATGTAAAAGGTGGAATTATTTGTATTAACAAGAAGATCGATCACATCTAAAGGGCTAGCATGCCCAGATCGCGTGAGGGTCGTACGAGTCACTCGAAGATAAAAAATGTAGTGAGGTACAGAAAATCGATAGGGTCAGACTTGGCAAAAAATCTGGAAATGCCGCTTGGGAAGGAGCTCGTCGTCCTCATTTTCTCTATCTTCTATGAAAGAATGTAGCTCGCTCTTTCCACCTGGGCCCCCCTCTGGGAACTGTTTGAGTTTTAGCATTGATTCCATTTCCTTTTGATCGTATTACGCTTCACTTGCTGCAAAACATTTTCACTTTCTGTGTTCGCTCATACGTGTTTACACTCCTTGCTTCTCTTTCCATCGGGCGATTGTTTGTATTCAACAGGATTGGATTCCGAACCAAGAAAGATGGCAACTTTCACTTGAAAGAAAGGAGCTTTAGAACTATTATATTCAACCGAATAAAAATAAGGCAAGAAGGGGCTATCTTTGTGAAGGGACCGGCACCAGAAAGTAGATCATATGGCCTTTCTTTTGCCAAAAAAAATAAAGAAAGGCCTGTCCAAGAAATGCAGCAAAGCAAGTCGTCTTTGGTTTGGTTTGGAGCGAAATTCCTGGAGGCGCAACTAAGGTTGCTCTCAGCCAACGAGGCCACCTAGAATATCCATCAGCCTATTCGTTTCGGCTTATTCGTTCGTATCTGGCTTATAATCCATGGTTTGAACAATGTTTTTCTCTCACACCAAACCAGCCAGCAGTATTTTCAGCCATGGCTTATAAGTCAATTCAGCCGAAACGAACAGGCTGCATAAACTCCATTGAGAAGCTTGTAAAACAGTAGATACTGGGTTGGAAGAGCTAAGGTTTGGAAATATAAAATAGTAGATTGGTTTGTTTTTTTGATTGATTGGATGCCTTAATTGGCTGTCATCTCTCATATAGAGGGGTAGGGAATGGTCTTATCTTATGGGGGGTCGAGATCCCTTGAAAAATCGCGCAAAATGAATCCAACTCGATCTTGATAGCAAAAATTTCTCTAAACCAATTTGCGCAGTACCAGAAACCGACCTCCTGAAGCGCTATTTCACCATCCTTGCTTCAAATTTTGCTTTATACATATGATTTTGGATCACCTCAATGAGAGGAATCCAATGATAAAGTGTAATTTATATTTTGAGAAAGTCATAAAATCATCTTAGGCTGATTTGGAAACCGGTCTAGGTTGGTTTTTGCATGAATTTGTTTATAGTTTTCCTGTGCGAACATGTACTCTACTCTCTCCTTTTTCTGGTAAAGCCTGCGTACTTAAAACACTTTTCTAGGACAATTTAACGTAAGGGCGATGATCAACTACATGCCATATTTTGTTCTGATCATATCAATCCAGGTGAAAGTGATTCTTGCAATATCTATCCTTAATAATGAAGAGGCAAAATTTCTGCCAACTTTAGATTTTCGTCCAGCCCAATCATCCACTTAGTTTTGGCCTGAACTCGTGTTCGTGTTGGGCTTTCCATCTTTCTGATCAGAGTACTATCCATCCCATAACTTTCCTTTTTTCTGATGGGTCCGCATGTAGCGCCGCCGTCCACGCCACGGCGCTCCAAGTCTGGCTCGTTCTTCGTTCTGTGTCAGACGCAGTGTCCCGCTCCAAAAATCCCTACGCAGTCCGCACGCAGCACCACCGTTCCTAGACGCCATCGCCCCAAAAATCCCTCCACCGTCTGCACGCAGTGCCGCCGTTCCCAAACGCCGCGTGCCACTCCGAGTCTTGCTCGTCCTTTGCTCCGGGTCTGACGCAGTGTCGCGCCCCAAAAATCCCTCCGTACAGCAGCCATTGCAGAAGTTTCTCCCGCCGCCGTCGCCGTCGCCGTCGATGCGGCCGTATTCCATGGCAAGTGCAAATCGGAATCGAAAACGAAAACATATCGGATCAGAAAATCTCGTGGTATTTTTTTGACAGAAAATCCTTCCTTTTCCTTCCTATATCTTATCTATATATTAAAGATCCTTGTCTTCGTTGATTTCACAGAACCCATAGTTTCGCCGACATTCTCCTCCGGTAGAGTCGAGTCCTATTGACCACCACCGTTGTGTGCTGCCATGGAGGCCGACCGGCAATAAGCTGGACGGGTCGCTGGTGCTCAGGTGCCCTGTCCTCGCCAACTTGCAGACAATCTTCTTCGGCGCCAAGCGCGTCGTGATCTTCCTCATCATGCCGCTCGCCATAGCCGTCCAGTGCGCACACATCAGCCAGGTACGCACCTGTGTACCCGCACAACCCTCGATTGCTGCGATCCATGTGATGCAAAAATACAGGGCATCTATCTCCAGAGACTCTTCTTACCTGTTTGATGGCATTGAGAGAGTATTGCTGATTTCTTACCCCTGTTGAATGGGGCTCTAAAGATGGATTGTACCGTTGATTTTGTGACTAATCTAGATGGATGGTAACAAACTAATAATTCAGTGTCACTCT